GTTTTGTTTTGTTGTGTACCTTAAAGTAAAAATATTTTATTTGAGAATTTTTTTTTTAATAAATTCATAAAGGGAGGGCTTCGAATCGTTGTTTTGGGAGAAAAAAATGTACTTATACTTGACGTTACTAGACTCAAAGACTCAAGTGTAAATATTTTATTTGAGAATTAAATATATAAAAATATAAATTTATATAAAACGATATTAATAATAATAATGTAATATCAAAACAAACTTTTGTCGTGTTCTACATTGTTCATGCTCTAATAGCAGCTCTACTGCTCAACTCCGAACCCAATTTGCTAGTATCTATGTCCACCGATAACGACAATTTATGAGATGATGAGTCAGCTTAAGGACATTTGTCTGCCCATCTCCACGTCGGATTTGGAGAATTCCCACTTTTAAATCTCCTTCTTCCACTGTTCCTGAGGGTCAGAGAATGAAAGTGTGAGACAGGGTTTTAAAAAACAGAGCCTCATTAATTGTTTCCATTTCCATAGCTTCTCAAATCAAATGTATCACTACTTTCAGAATCATCAAAGAAATGGGCCAAGTAAGTTTTGTTTTTAAAGATAAAGAATTAATGACAAGACTTGATGCAAAATCAAGATTGTACGAATCTCAAAGTTGAATACTTTCTTCCTACAACTAGTTAGTTTTGCCATGTTTATCTTTCAAGTCTTCTCTGTGCATTATTATTAATTCTTTTTCTCTGTTTCTAGATGTTGATATACAGACCTCTGTGTGCTTTTATTTTTGTTTCCTAATCTTCTGTGTGCTACTGAAGCTGAACCAAGAAGAGAACAAGGAGCAGGAAAAGAAGAAAGAAGAGAAGAAAGGGGAGAAGAAGGAAGAAAAGCTTCCAGACATTGTCTACAGGGTTGCCATGAAATGTGAAAAATGTTGCTCGAAGGTTCGAAAAATCATTGCAGGACAGGACGGTATAATCATCTTTCTCTACATTAATTAGCTTATATAAATATTTAATTTTGTAGGCAAAGTGGTACTAGTTGTTATTGTAGAGATTTTAATTGACTTCAACGTTATAACTATCATTTCAAAGTTATCGTGCACTGTATTAACTTAGCTAAATAAATTAATTATCCAGGAGTAGCACAGCTGAGAGAAAATTAGTTGGATTGCTAAATCTTTATGTTAATTGTTATGTTGATAATTTATAATTAACAGGAGTAGCGGCTGTAGCCTTTAATAGGGAGAGCGGGACAGTGGAAGTGCAAGTAGATGCAGCCGCGCGGGAAGGGCTACGGAAGAGGAGAGGAAAAAATGTTGCGCCGATTTCGCCCGTGCCAGAACCACCAGAACAGAAGAAGGAAGAAAACAAAGAACAGAGAGAACCGAAAAAGGAAGAGGTAAAGTTTCATATATACTTAAGATACCTCATACAATAGAGTATTTTGCGCGCTGGAAATAAATGAGTTAATTAGAAAGGTGACAGCCAAACCAAAATAAAACATTAATTTAAATTAGTAATTTTTTTTTTTTTTGGGTTCACTGAATGATTAGTTAAATAATAAGAATAGCTCTCTCATTTTTAAACTCTTTTTTATTTATCTTAAAATTTAAATTTAAAATCTTTATTAAAAATTAAAACTTTTAATTATTAAGATATCTCATAAATAACATTTTAAATTTGT